CATTAGGCTATTCTATGAGATGTATTCACCCCATTTCTTTAGGGTGATAAAGGACTGGTAGTTGAATTTTACCACGATTCTATGAGCATAAATTATGCTCCCATTGAATTGCACATGGCCTTGCTTTCCCCAAAGGTATTCTTATTCTTATGGAAACGTAAGTCCATTCGTATGATTGTGGGAAAATTCAACTACTGATCTTTCATAATCTTCACGAAATAAGGTTAATAGATCTAATTGTAGTCTCAAAAACCTAGTATAGAAGAACGGAAAATAAGCTAATCTGTCTGTGGATCTCCTAAGACAATCATCAAAACTCGGCTTTTTTTCTTCTACTTATCTCAGGATTCGAAAGTTTGTCCCAGTTGGCAAGACCTTTAAAATCCGACTGCTACCATCATATGAGACCCATGCTTCCTTTGGTTGGTCTATTATCCTTGCCTAATAACCTACGGCTGTACAGGTCGAATAAATAGCCACCTCATTTTCTATCTCCCTCTCACACATACACATGCACGAACGAATGTTCTCACACATAAAGCATGTTTGCGGACACGAACATTTGTCTCTCCCACCTTTTCTAGACTGGCAGTTTCTTATTGGGCTGCGCATTTCACTAATCGCTCGGCCCTAATCTGTTTCCCCAGCCTCCTTTTTTCCGCCATATAAATGTCCTTAATTGCTTGTCTATGGGTCATCTCTTGAAAGACGATGTCTTCTCCAGCTGATTGGACAGTATTATGTAGAGACTCAGGCAGAGGCGCCAACTTCATAGTATTAAAACAAAAAAGTGCTTCCAGTACTTTCATAATGGCCTCTTCCAATCTGAAGTAAATAGCGGCCGGCCCGAGTGTCATTAAATACGTTCCTGCTTTATAAACTCGTACGAATAAAATGCGGGTTTTGAAGAATCTTATGAGATAAAATTGTTGTGAAGACTTTCATTTCGTAGGTCAGTTTCACCAGCAGACGCCGGCTGACATTTTCGACTTAATCTCGATCTCACTAGCACACATGAAGTATATAAATCCATTAAAATTGGCAAAACATATTTTCGTTTTCATGAGCTCAATGACGTCATGTTTCATCCCATCTTCCCTCATCAATCCAATAAATCTTCTCCCTCTTAAGCGCTGTTTTCTCGAGTTCGGCTCATGGACCTACGACAATAGCCAGTTAGAGGTAGAATGGTGGATCTTAGACAACGACACTACGCGCACCCCGATGCCTTTTGTCGATTTTGGCGATTACGTTCCCAGCAATGAGTGGAGAACGGATGGGGAAGAAGAGAGCAGGACACACCATCTGAACCGCACGAAGCAGGTAGGTATGCAGAGAACGGAAATTATTGAAGTCCATCGTATTTACGATCGGCATATATCCTCATTCATATTTGCACAAAAGAATAGGTCCAATCTGGTGAGAAATTGTTTTGTCCCATTTGCTCGACTTTGCCGTGCTAACATGGTGGCCTAGATTAACGCAGTTTGTCAATGTCCTCTGCTATTGTAGTCATAGTAATTTCCAGCCTCGGTTTGGGGAATTGGTACATTCACATGTGGCTATCATAAGGAGCCAATTAGATGTTGACGCGCATATACACACACATGCATGCACACATCGGGCCTTTACTTAAGAAGGATTGTATGAAGGACACAAGTTCTATTTTCCGCCTAGCGAGGACGTCTATTCCCTTTAGTCCCTACATTTTTATTTGATCCATTTTTTGTTCTTCTTTCTCGCTTGTGACTTACTCTCATTCATACAAGCTACTTTGTGATTTACTCGCCCTTCTTCGAGAATGTCATTTATCCGTACATCGCAGCACATAAAAGAATATATTTTGTAGTCAGATCACAAAAAGGCCGAACCACTTCGATATATTAAAAATGAGATTCATACTTGCATTGCAAATTTTATAACCTCGTTTCTCTCTCTCTCCAGCACTCGTCGGGAATGCATTAATTGATGCAAACTCTGATTTTACCATTAAATTTACTCTACCATGCATCCACAAAAGCTGTTTTCTGCCTGATCGTATTGCAATTTTGACATTGCCTCATCATTTACCAGCACTACCAGCCACATTGGCATCTGATCAGGCTCTGAGTTTGTTGCGAGCCCTCTCTTCCTCTCAAACATCTATGTAATCATAGTCAATGCACATGGACAACTTGCATTGAGGAGGGCAAACTTTCAACAGAGATGCTCGTTCGTTCCAATGTTCTCCACCACAGGTCTTACAAGATAACTATCAGGTTATTACATGACTTTTAATCTCGAAAAAAAGGCGGTTAGAAAGAGTTTGTGAATTCGTTTCATCGGAAACCGAGGCAGGGTTGCTTGGATTGTGTAAAGAAGTCCTCGGCTCACAGTCCGACAATCCCAATGAGCCGATGCTAAATTTTCTTCTTTCTTAGAACAATATAATGGTCTAAGGCTCTTATATTTTGGCTTAAAGTATTTAGTGTGTTCCTTCGAGAAACGTGGCTCCTCACTTTGACCAAATCTGTCATAGGTTCATCGGGGTCGCAGAGCGATGAGCAGTGGTTTTTCTTTGCACAATACAGAAATCATCAATCCTCATTCGGTTTCGGGTTGGGCGAATTCACAAATTCCGGCAAGTGACTTTGACTTCGAAATAAACAGTTATGTCAATATAACTCTTTAAGGAATTCTCCGAAACCCACTTTTTATTTATTTGACCATGATATTGTCATTACGTTTAGCCCTAGTTCAATTAAGAAGAATGTCAAATATTGACATATTTTCTCTGTAATCTAAATTGTATTGGTCTCGAAATGCATGTTAGCCGAAAATAGTATATTATTCTATGCTACTTTTAGGGTATATTGGGAGCCGCGTTGGATGAGATGCCAAGAAAGGCAATGAAGGGCAACTAAGCAGCTATAAAAGCTTAAACAAAGATATTCATTGGATAAATTGATCCAACCTCGTTTACGCAACTCAGCTGTGTTGCCAAGTCTTGTTAGTTGGAGGCACATTGTCCGAAATCTTCTGCTATAGCAATTAGCATAATTACCAGCGTTGGATCGTGGAGCCAGTACAATCGAAAATGTTTCCCCAGCATCGTCAGTGAGTCTTACCAGTCTCATCATAAAGCTACAACGTGTCAGAGACAAGCTAAGTCAATCCCTTGACCAACTGTCTGCGAACGATTATGCC